ACCTAGAAATATATAGGAAAAATCTTTGAAAATCTTCTTCTCAAGAACCACTGGGCCAGAAAAAGTGAAGCTTATGTGGAAGCATTCTGGGGTAGTGTTAATTCTAAATTGTAGGAATCATGACCCCCGGGGGAAGGGCGGGGCCATTATAGGGAATCAAAATTTTACCTAGAAATATATAGGAAAAATCTTTGAAAATCTTCTTCTCAGGAACCACTGGGCCAAAAAGCTGAAACATATGTGCCCATGGAAGGATCATGGGGTAGTGTAGATTTCAAAATGTCTAAATTATGATCAGTGGGGTAGGGTGGGGATGCATTATGTATAACAAGGGTGAAATCTGGTAAAGAACAGAATGGTCAAAGCTTCTCAGGTGAGCGATGTGGCCCATGGGCCTCTTGTTTTATAATCCGTGCACTAGTCTACGCCATATTGACTGGTGCCCAAGTCCCAGAATTTATTGAGAGGGATATAAGAGTACGAAGGAAACTATCAATTTTCTGTATGATAACCGATTTGTGGTAAGGAAACTACATTTACTTGGACCAGGGGTACGTATTACGACCTAAAAATAGAGACAGGGGAGAGATAGCGGTATAATTACTTGACGCGTAAACTACGGAACACCTTTCATACATATACATGTCCATGTAGTTGAAGCATATCATGATTTGTTGAGGAAAAATTGAATGCACTAAGTCTTGCATCATACTGGATATATATTTGCTGAACACAGAATCACTACCCACTGATACATGTAGTAAGACGTATCCACTTATTGACAGAAAAATTAATATTTCTTCTGATATTGAGAAGCCCCCCCCCCCAGCCGTCTAGCCAGGAAGTACGACTCGTAACACCACCTCCTGTTAAAGCGGCACAGTGAGTCAAAATCATATCTTAAGTTTAAGATATCTGTTACTTACAAAGAAAAACTAATGAAAATTATGATTATATAGCGAAGATATGACAATTAAACTGCAAGAATTGACTACACAATATAAGTACCGGAAAAACAAAGGTTGTATCTACCGTTTCGTTGTTTCGTATATGTCAAGGTCACGCAACTCTTATTTTTAGCTTAAACTTGTAAACAAAATTCAACTGGAGCATGCAAAGGTGAGAGATATGTTCTAACAACTTTTTTAAAAGATTACTGTGGTTTCATCAATTTTCGTTGGCATCAATTTTCGTGGATTTTGTAAAACAGACTTTTTCAAGGATACGTGATTTTGTGGACAAAAGCATTGCAAATACAAATGAATGTCATATTTCGTATTTCAATGTTTCAATCAACATTTGAATTTGTGGATCTGATCAACACCGAAATCCACGAAAATTAAAGCTCAACGAATATTGATAAAACCACAGTAAATCAAATTTTTTGGTCTTCTTACATTCATTCGTGGATACCTGAGACCATGGTAACTATGGAAATTTATTCAACACTCTTCTGCGCACGCGTACAATAGGGAGGAAGAAGTACCAGGGTATTTTGCAATATTTTCGTTCTGGGGCAGACAGAAATTATTTTTACTTTTATTTTTCCCCATAAAAATATAATTTTTAGGTTCTGAAATCTGTAATTTTCTGAAACTGAATACTTTTAGGAATTGAATAAAATTTACAGAGGTCATGCAAAAATTCTACATTTGTCAATTTTCTCCTTTGTGCGTCACTGTGCCGCTTTAAAGTGCAGTGTGGTAACTCGTTATGGTTGCGTCATTTAAAAACTCTTCAGATTCGAATACCATGGGTGTGTTTGTGACCCCTTTGTGTTTATTAATTGAATTTTTATTACCTCTACTGTTTGAAGACCAGAAAATCTTATGCGATAGTAATTCATCCGTTGTCCGTCCGTCTGTCTGCCTGCCCGTCTCTAATTTTTTTTTTTCAAAATGCTACTGCTCCTTCATTTTTGGACTGATTTCAATATAACATAACTTGGCATACTAGAGTATACATGTAAGTAGACTACCCTAAGATACATAATTCTGTGTATCGGTTTTTGATTTCGATGAACGGTGTTGCTGTGGTTACTAAAAATGTATATTTCTGGGAAATGCATTCAATACGCTACTCCTGTTATAGTTTTAATTAGATTTTTAAAGAAAGTGACTTTCATCAGCCACGTTCCTCAAATAACTTGACTCGACACTAATCTAATGTTTTGGCGGTGTTATATACGAGGTTTATGATTTTGATATGTTATTAATTAGCTGCAAATCCGCCATCATCAGTAGCCTATTTGCATATCTGTTATACAGACTATAAAATTATTTAGAAGAGCAGATTACTCTGATTTTTATTGTGTAATGACAAAATAAGTTACTAATGGAGGATTCTTGGAATAGGCTGGTATTTTAATATTTTTATTAATCAGTTTCATTAGTAATTTCATGTCAGCGAATATCGCATACAGAGTGGGGTCCCTGACTTAGAACCTATCGCATTTCAATTATTTCTTTGTATATATTTGCATAAAATTCAAATATATAACTTTCTGAATTAAATCTGAGTAATTAATTTAGGCTGGGCTTAGATCGAGAATTTCTCTGTTAGCCGTATCAAAAGCAGCCATAAATTAGCTTCTCCAATTGCATATTTGTGTAAAGTGATGTTACATCACAGCTGACCAGCAAGTTCTCATTGTGAAGTCGCGGAAGTTCAGTCTTCAATGTGAAGTTTGAGCTATCCATAAAGTTTGTGCTCAAGTTATGCATGCACAATTACTGATTAAAATTAGAGTAAAAAAATCACTCCATTTTATTATATGCCTTTTTAAATGTAACAGGCCATCTTTGAGAAAAAAGGTATTTTGCAGCATCTTTTACTTTTTGTATATTTTATGGACTAGATATAATCTCTTCGTCCTCGTATTATCTGCTAAATGCAGAAATCTATAAGTACTATCATCAAGGACACCCTTTGCATTCATTTTAGCAATGTATTCATCAAGATGTTTTGAGTTGGGATACTAAATTCAGCAGTTATATTTTGAATTTAAATGCCGTTGAATCTGATACGGCTCTCTTTACTGTGTTTGATTCAGTGACATCATTAATCAGCTTTTTTGTAAATGAAGTTTTTGTATTTTATTAAGTTCCTTCACTGCTTTTTTTAGAAAGCAATTCTGAAAATTTAACTTTCGCTATGACTTCCATTGATGATAATTTAATTTTTATATTGTCAACGTACGTAGAATAATAATTCAGTTTCAAATCCAACAGCTTTTTAAGGAAAGGATTGCACGGGTCCGTGAAAAAATTTTGCCCAATGAATTTTTCTCATTTTTACATACAACGTTCCTAATGTCAATGATACCATTATATCAAAGTATCAAGCATGGCCATCAGGCTTATTAGGAAGTTATGGTTGCCATGGTAACCACTATTTATTAATCCTTTGATATTTATAAGGTGAATCTTTTATAATGCCATACACGCAACAAAATTGAAGCAAATTAAATATTTTCCTGCAGATATTTAATAATATGCTTTATATTTATGGAAAATAAAAATTGTTTCGGAAACTATTGATAAATGTAGTAATGCCATTGTTTTTTTTTTTTTGTTTTGTTTTTTTTTTGGGGGGGGGGGAGTATTAATTGTAAATTTGCAGTAATATTTTCACCTCAATAGCAGTTTTTAACGTCTAGACAAAAAAGTACACAATGAATTTTGCCAAAACTAATAGATGCTGTACTAGTCATTATAAGTGACTTATGGTTAAAATATGAAGTAAGGTAATCAGATTAATTTTGAAGCTTCACGCATTTCAGTACCCCCCCCCCCCACTTCCAAGAATATTAAAAGTTTTCACAGATTTTCATATGATGGTTTCTTGTTGGACCTTAATTATGCATAATCTGTTTAAAGACAATAAAGTTCATATTTATAGATATTAAATAAATACTCTTTCTCTGAAAATCTGGCAGCTGATGCTCATTTTATATGTGAAGCACAATGATTTACTTATCATCGACAGTGGTCACGAAAATAACTTTCAAACTCAGTTTTTTATCTCCAAGACATTCATTTTGTTACTATATCAGTATAAATAAATAATATATTATAAACCAGTGCACATTCAAATGCCTTATTCTTCATGCTTTCAAAACCCATCGATGTATCTTCTTAGTGACCTGGAATCGGGGCGGGGGGGGGGGTTCAGACATTTGAACACTTTGAATGAAAAGAGGTTATTTTACATTGTACTTGTAACTGCATTTTCTATATATATATATATATAAATAAATAAATAAATAATACTGCCGTCATGAGAAAAGGGCCCTTATCTTTTGACGTCACAATGCTCAGAAAACGACGTCAAAGTCGCGGTATTGTAAACACGGAAGTAATTTTTGTTGACTGCATTTTGTTATCAAGAAATAAAATTGAATTTCAAAGCGTAACAAAAATTTGAAACTTGATGCGGACATTTTTAAATAGATATATGATATATATTTACAAATTAGCACGTAAATTTATTCATAATTTTGTTTAAGTATTTAACTTGACGTAGATATACGAGGCATTGGACATGCACGTTGCTAGCTATTGAACAGCGATCAAAACGATGTCTATGTATGACTAAATTAAAGATGCTGCATATTTGTTTTCTGAGCAATTTACAAATGCTTAATTGAATTTTGAATTCATGTTAAGAAGTCTGAATATTAAAAGTGTATATTCCATATACATGTATATTTTTTTCAGAGAGAGAGAGAGAGAGAGAGAGAGAGGGAGAGATCTATGCATATATAGTAATTACCGTTCTTATAAGCACAACTTTTTTTCTGAAAAATATATACCATAATATAAAACGCATTTAGTCATTTTAATCCATAGTTAATCATAGTTATACCATCGTTCTTGTTTTTCTGACTGTAAACCAAAATGTCAATACATGAGTCTACTCTGCTCTGTTTTTTGCCAAATATAACATGAACCTTTCAGTTGTTGTAAAAGAGCATTTATTTGTATGCCAAACAAAAAGCTGCCTGATCGGCTGAACCTGCCGCGGCTGGTACTTGTCGTCTTAGCCTTCTGGCCCTGGCTGGTCGCCTCGCTCCAGCTGGTTCATTCATCTACAATATTTCTTAAGAAGATATGAACCTAATCAATAAAAATATTTCAGAGCTCATAACCTGACCATTGAAAGCAACAATTTAAACTTTGATTCTTCAGTTAAAAAATACACTATTAAAACTTTAAATAATTGGAAAAACTTAATAAGGAATCTTTAGAAACCTCAACAATATAAGAATGTATGTATCTTATTCATTTTGTGCAATACATTCAGAAAGTAGACCTCAACCATATTTGGTGAAAATTCTAACAAAACAAATAACCCCAACCATACAGGGGTGCAGCAACTTACCAACCCTAAACCCCCATCATAGGGGTGTAAAATATGTAAATTCAACCCCGACCATATAGGGGTGCAAAATCCTGCTTAAATAATACCCCGAGCATATAGGGGTACAGGATATTGCTTAAGTAACTTCAATCATATCAATCATATATAGATGCAAATTCCTGCTAAGATCAAACCCCGACCATATAGGGGAGCAGGATATTGCTTAATAAACCCCGACCATATAGGGGTACAGGATCCTGCTTGAATACAACCCCGACCATATAGGGGTGCAGGATATTGCATGAATTAACCCCGACCATATAGGGGTGCAAAAAACCTGCTGTATTCCAAGTAACCCCGACCATATAGGGGTGCAAGATCCTGCTAAAAGTCAACCCCGACCATATAGGGGTGTAAATTCCTGGCAATTAAATCATATTTAGTTTATGTAAGTTGCTTATCAATAATACACCATATTGGCAAATTCGAATAAAACAACCCCAATCCACAGGGTTGCCATCTATTTAGATTGAAGTGAGTTTATTTTTATATAGCATAATAATATACTAAAGACTGCATCAATCGCCAATGAGCAATTAAATCAAATGAACATAGTAGAATGTATTATAATTAGACTAAATATAAATGTTGTACAGATAAATACCCACCATTATTGATAGACTTTATCATTGAAACAATTACAGCCCTCACATTATTATAATATTTCTTATTTCCTTGATAATTCAAAAGGACCCCATCAGCCAAAAATACTGCCCGTTGATTATTAGGACACCAGAAACCAGACAGGCGAAAGAATGTTGCTGAGTCTACATTCTTCAAGTAATTGGACACTCGTCTATTTAGTTCATCCACCCTCGTGTTAAACCATGCTGTGTCCACGTGAAACCGGATACGCCTTGTCGGGGGAATTCTATGCAATGTCTGTAGCACCACCACTTTCTTCACATTTTCCTCATAACGTAGATAAATTACAAAGTCTACCAGCTCACGGTAAATATCATTCACTGATGTGTTTCTCCTACACAGGTCGTTTGATACGGCTTGTAACAAAACCACATCTGGACGCAAGTCTCTAACGTAATATGTACCTTGCGCGCGAATCTGAGCCAGTGACGCTCCTCCGTATCCTGAATAAAAAATCTGTACCTCCTCCGAATTAAGATTTAAATTCGGTGTCACCCGATGGTCAGAATTATCTGTTACAAAGTTCTCAAGTCTGCGAATAAAGGAATGCCCCAAAATAAGGACTTTTATTGTCATTTTATCCACACCATGTCCATCCCAGCGTGGGATAGACACCGATTCCAGGACCACGTGCAACGATCAGCCTAAATTAAGGCCTTTATAAACAGTAGCGTAAAGTAATTCTTCACATCAAATACTTACAATGTAGTATAAACGGTAGATCCTTATATAATATAGCGAATAATGCAATCAAGTTGGATATTAAACTTCAATGAATGAAAACATCTTCATGACAGTGCACATGCAGACTTGAGACAATGACTACGTGACAAGATCAAATTATAATTACTGGTACAGGTTGCGTGTGGCACTGCAATATCCGGAAAAATCTTAACAATATGTAATTTACTGATAGATGGTATAAATTACTTTATGTTGCACATAAATACAATTAATCATACTTATGTACTCCGATAGCCAGGTGGCCTATCGATTTTAAAATGTGTGTAAAAAGGGGTGGGGGGGGGAGAAGACAATCCCCCCCAAAAAAAATCCGAATAAAAAGACCGGTAAACGTTAGTACTAAGAAACATAATCCCTCTTTGATTGAATAAAGATACTGGTAACATGGGAGATCCAAACCTTTTACATAAACAATATTTTTTTTATACTAAATTATCAGTAATAGAATATGCTAAGGGAAAAAAATACGGATGATGGGGATGCCACGAAAATTTTGCTAAAATAGATTTTGTTTCAAAAACTAATTTAAAATGATCAAATAAATACATTCAAAGGAATTGTATGGTAGAAATTACTATTGTCTCAAATTTCTGAAATTGTTCCGATGAAAGGAATGAATGAAATCCAACTGGAACCTTTTTTGAAATATGTCAAGAAAAATACAGCTATTGTAGACTTTTCCCAAAAGCATTATACCCTATGTTGTCGAAGAAATTAACAACATTACATCGAAAGTGATATTATGAATGAGGATATTTATAAACCAAAAGGGGGAAAACTATTGCTAAGCAAAAAGACGTATACGAAAGAGCAAAAAATGTATGTGACAAATTGTTATGGGTGTAATTTCCAAAAGTTATGAAATTGTTTAAGCTCTTTAAAAGCTTTAATGAGCGTGAAATGTATGTCAATGAATATTCATGATATGAAATAAATAAGTCACATTTTGCGTTGAAATCTTCATCTCTGATACATGTATCAAAATACCCGGCATATCTCGACATTAATTTCTTAAAGTTCCGAGATAGGACTTTATATCATAATCCTAACATGACTCTACGATGAGTAATTAATAAACAAACACAAATTTTCTTCTTTTAAATAAAATATTGGCCATTACAGTCGCACGCAAGTAGCAAAGGAGGTTGGGTGTGCATTGAAAGCCCCCCCCCCCCCTACACACACACACACACACCCTCACACACACACACACACACACTCACACACGCACGCACACATACACACTTCTTGTTGCATCATAGTCAAATCCGTGCACTATAGGGCAAAAAGAATAAGGCACTGTATAAATGCTTGATCATGAAAACTTGATACTGAAAGAAGACTGAACCTAACCCCCCTCCCCAACGGCGAAATTGGATTCGAGTTTTGACACACACACACCTTTTTTTGGTTGAGTAGGTTTTTTAAGGTAGATTTTTTTCCTAACTGAACCCCCCACCCCTCTTTTTCAAACGAGTTGTGTGGGGACAGGCGAAGATACGAGTCAAATTCTTGTTTTTATTTTGATATGTTTGGTATGTTCTGATGCAATAACTACGGAAAATGGCTTGCCTAAATATTTTCTGCGAAAGAGAGTCAAATAAGAGCGGTATACTATTACTTAATTAACAGCATCGCCTCATACAAAAAAGTATTCACGGATGTTGGACTTAAAAGTTCATTATTGGATAAGACAATCGCATCGAAATGTGATAAACTTATAAGGTATCAAGTTAATTAGCCATTGTCACGGAGGAAAATGAATAGATGACCGTTCGTGGTCGTTCAAAAAATTGTTTTGATTGTCAAGAAAAATATGGTGGTTGAAAGTGCCTACAACTGAAAAAAAATATAGCTACCCCCCCCCCCCCCCCCCCCAACTGAAATGGCTTCCTAAGGGCCTGCCGTTCTTGCGTAAAGATATATAAGTATTCATTCAATTTCAAATTGATTTTGTCAAAATTTAGAACAGCACAATTCCCATCCCTTTGATTAAATTATACAATATTATACATAAATCATTTTTTTTGAGATTATTTCGGTTCTTGTAAGAATATACAAATGTTGTGTTTAATTAAGTAAAACAGGGAACAGGTGCCACAAAATAAAAAGGTTAATGTGCAGAAATATTTCTAACCGATGTAATTGTGTTACTTTTTAAAAAAAAATAAGAAGTTAAAAGACGGTTTCAAATTAAGGTATAAATTCAAAGAAAGTTTCAATTTAAGTACGGTATATAAATCATTCAGATTCAGTTTCTACTCCGTAACTAAGACAGGCGAAGAAAATGAATTGTATAAACAATGGAAACTTAGAGCTTTAACCATTTTGAATAAACTATTCAAAAAACGTAAAAATTTTAAAATCCGCTTTCATGGAAGATTGATTGATTGATTGTATATTGTTTAACGTCCCTCTCGAGAATTTTTCACTCATATGGAGACGCCACTACTTGCCCGTGGAGAGCTGCAAATTTTGTCCTATACTCGGCACTCAGGGCAATTGAGCAGGGAGGGATCTTTTTCGTGCCAGCACCTACTGCGACGCGGGAACTCGGTTTATATTGTCTCATCCAAAGGACCGATCTCCACGTCCAACAGTGGGATTCGAACCCGCGACGTAAGGATTGACTCCTTACTTCCTTGCATGGAAGAAGGGAAGGTATATTTTTTTCATGAATGTTTATAAAAGGAATAAACGTTTTTAAAAACAAGTTTACATATCTTGGCGTATTTGAATTTATTATTTCTCAATTGAATTCTTCGGTGATAAAGAAAATACATGGTGTTTTTTTTATCGTAACAGTTATAGGGAATACACAGATAAAGTTACGTGTGTGTGTGTTGGTGAGTGGATGCTGTCTGATATATAAGATTTTTTTTTAAAAATCAGTATCGATGTGCTTTTTGTTAGGGGTGCCCCGTTTTGCGCGCGGTGTCCTTCTGCATCGGATTCTCTCAATATATATATTTCTTTTAAACTTTAAGTGTTACAGGTGCTTTATATATTTTATAAATTGAATTAGATTATTTTATATAAGAAGAATAATTTGTATGGATACAAACAAATACAATTTTCCTACTGATTATGTTATAAAGCGTCCCTAGATTCTGTCTAGACCCCCCCTTTTTTTACGAAATTGCCAGATCTGCTCTAAAATTAGCATGGAAATAGTAATAACATACGATATTCCTTAGGAATAGTATACTACTTTCTTGGAAGAAAAAACTTCAATACTTTCTCAAGTTGCTAATTCTCAAAACGATTGATGTTATTTATTATAAATAACATGTAATTTCAAGTTTTTTTGAAAATTGAATTGGACGCAGCGACGTCATTACGTTTTCACTGAGTAACGTCAAACTTATTTTTGAAGCGCCTCACTAAAATGCTCATAAAATAGGAAAAAAGTGAGATATTTTCAAAAGTTATGTATATTTGCATTCAGAAAGAGTCCGGCTATCAAAATTTACCAAAATGTCAATTTGTGAAAATTTGACCTTAAGGGCCCTTTTCTCGTGACGGCAGTCATTATTATCATTTTGTGCTCAAATATATTATGCTATTTTGATGTATTTATCATAAATAGTGATTGAATTGTTAGTTATACGCCGTTCAAGATTTTTTGTTTTATATATAAATGTATTCATCCATAAATTAACTTATTGGCCAAATTATAGTAATTCAAAATATTTACATTTACAAATAGTTTTCCTTCCGATTCTTTTCAAGTAGATCTAAGTACACTTCATTTTCTCCTGTACATGAATGAGCACTATCTCCATTGTGACGTCATAATGACACGATTGACGTCAAAACTATAGATCTACTGTTTTGATTCAAAAATAATCATTGATTGAAATAATTTTTCGTCGCTTTATGATATATGCTGAAGTGAAACATCTATGTTCATGTCTATTTGATAAAAATAGCAAAACATTTTTCAAATAAACTCCCATAAGCATGATGAGTTCACATGTTTCTTTTATTTATTTATGTACATATTTTCCCTGTTATTCTTTCAGAAGAAGTGTGTTGTGTTTCAATACGACGCATAAAACATTTTACAACAATCGTTTACAATATATGTGCGACGATGATTGAATGTTTACATGGTCGATGTCACTGCTGAAAATGCTAAAGATCTTTTAGGAGAAAAGAAAATCCTCTGCGATATTTTTTTAAAGATGTCTTCTACCTATAAGTGGTCTTACACGTTTATCAAAATCGCCTTCTTTCATCAATATTTATACATGTATCTAGTAAATCACGCCGTCTGAATCTCTTATTGGAAATTATCTATAAATAGATGTAGATCCTATGATAAACAACAATCTTAAATAAAATTCTAATTTTTAAATGAAGATATAAATTTATTTTTTAATGAAATAGATTTCAATGTTCAGAGATATACAATAGATATACGTGTCAAATCGTAAAACATGCACGTAGATAAAAAAAATATTATCAACGCTCACCAACACTCTCAGTGCATCGTAACAATCTAATATCTTATACTTTCTCTACTTTAGAAAAATAAACCTCTTTTGTCATGAGCCCAAACATATGACGCTCCTTATTTCGGAAATAGTTACAGCAAACATTCTTTTTTTATTCACCAAATGAATTGATCAAGTGACGCCGTGCAATCGCGTCCTTAATGTCTTGAGTGTTTATCTTTCGAACCTTAAAACGGGTACAGATTGATGTAAACTTTGTCGTCCCTCCACTTTAGAAAAGTTTTTTTTTTTTTTTTGTTAAAACAATAAAATGTTAAACTACTACGGAAACATAGTTATATTGTTATTCGATTGAAATATATTTTTAAATAGTATATTACTAGTATCTTTCTAAAGGTATATCCATTTAATATCGAAATATGCTAGGGTGTGTACAATGAAAACAGTCAACTATTTGTAAAAGTTTGCAGGCAATGACTAAAATTTGTAGGAAATTAAAGATTCATGCACTCGTAACCCTTTTGATAACTTTCCTTTGCAGTAAATATTGCAAAGGGGATACAGCATTGCTTATATGCGTGTGTGGGCGTAATGTTATGAGTGTGGGTGT